TGCCCCCGTTACGGCCGCATCAGTCCGCGGACCACGTGAACTATGAAAATGACCCCCATCCGCCCCCACGGAACTTAGACCTCTCGACCAATCGGATCACAGTGTAAGCAAATGATGACTGACTAAGGCATTCAGCTTATAGACAGATATACGAACGCACCACACACGTCTCTACCCTATAGTGCAACCTTGATTCGCTTCACTGTGAATGGTCCATTTTAATTTGCGTTCGCTAGCTGCCTCATATACCTGCTGAACGTGATCGGTCTAGCTGTAGTAGATCAATATAGACAGCCCGCAGATTTGAAAATCCACAAACCTGTCAAAGCAGATAGACCAAACGAGCGAAATGACGGGGGATATCGTAAGCGTATTATCATTGCAATTGGATTGGCGCATACCTACCTTCTTACAGGATATGATACAAAATTATGCCAATCGGTTACGGCAAGGTGTTGAAGAGAACAGCGTTATACAGGATTTTCGACTGAAATTTCCTCAGCGGTTTCACGAGCTGTGCATGGTGCATTTGTCTTTCTTGATTGATATACCGTGGAATATCTATGATCAACGCTCCGGAACAGCGCAAGATAGCACACCAAAATCGGCTTTAAAGCGTTTATTGGCTGCGTCACGTTTTGGCCATAGTAAGTATTTTGATAACTTGCTTATTTTCATTTACTAAATGTGTCGATAGTGCATTGTTTTTCATACATGAAAATATCCTGGTTTTACTTCGGCCATTTTTCGCGATGAACATTCTCGTCTCGCGTTACGATTTCTTCTGGGTTGTAGTTAGTAGAAAGTAGTAGTAGATATTGTGTTATCAACATAATTTCTATTTTCAACTCATTGCTGTTAACTGTGCTGCTGATGGTGGTCTAACGGCTGAATAACGTTATCACTTTTCACTTCGATTGGACACCTTCGTTTTCAATGAGGCTCCTTCCTGGGAACTGATAATTGGGTACCTGCAGAATAACATGTTAACGTGACTAACCAAATGTGAGTAAATATCTGAATTCGTGAGAAGTGTTGCTCATAAAGGTACGTTTTTGTTGATGCTCGCGTACGAAAATAGTTTGTAAAAAGTATGTGAAACAATTACGAAATGGGACTGTGTTCGCTTCAACACATTGCAAGATAGAGTTCCTTTAGTCAATATGGTTGGATACTGCTATCAGTTGATCGACTTCCACGGCTACAATTTTTGTAGAAAATTTGAAATACAATATGGCAGTTTTCTCTCGTGTTTTGCGTGAGGTTTCACAGAGTTCCTTGCAACGAGTCAAAATTACAATCCTGCAATTACGTTTGGGTGTAACTCTCTTCAATTGTCTTTGCCCCATCGATCAGGAGCTACTTGGTCTACGTATCATACAAATTAACTCTCAATGGATTTAGGTACACTGTTCTTTTGTCCGGGGACTAGGGTGATTGTTCATCAGAAGATAATCAATCGAAACAACTCCGTGCAGTCGCTGCTTCGTCAATACGTAAAACGTGTTAGCTACAGTGTCAATAAGTCTGTTCCATTTTCAAAATAATCAATGTCGAACTGTGTTTTTTATTCCACAATCGGTTTTCCGGTTGTTACCGCATAAATGTGAGCAAAATCCGGTCATGGAAGTGGAATGTTGATTATTTTCCAACTTATCATGAATTCTTCCTCCCCCTTGTCCGCTACTCTGTGGTTCCTTGCAACGTGTAATGATGTCACATGCAGACAATTATCATTCGTTTACAGTCTTATCGCAATGCATGAATTTGATGTGGAGTCCAATCACAGACAAATTTAATGTTGCTTTCCTCTGGTATAGGTGACTAAGTGAAACAATCGTTTACGAGTTTCTTGAGCTAATAAGAATCTTTCGTGATAAATCCGGGGCACACGTGCCAGTTTATATAAACAGAAACCTAAGTAGTCTTAGTACATGTTATTATAGCACTAGATACAAACCTAAATTGTGGAGATTATAACTGTTTTATGGATTGCTTTGCTTTTATGCGCAGTTGTCTTTAAACTGCTGTTCGTTCTACACACCGCAAAATGATGCGATTCCCATAATAGTACTGTTCGGTTCATTATATTTTATGCTGTTGAAAATTATTTGACACTTATGAAATGCTAGGTATACACATTAGGTATGTGATGAAACACTAAGTGTGCCTAACGTGGAGGATTGTATATACATATATTTGATTGCTTATATTCGTTGGCAGGGGAATGGTTCGGAGACCAGTAGTCAAGTTGTTGTTTGTGAAAACTAAACCTGGAAATATACATCCATACCCACGGGGAAATATTTTTGTTGTGGACAAGTCATACATGGTTTTTGTAAACTGTCCGATTGTGATCACTAGTTATTTTGCCTTTGTGAGTCACAGCCAAGCAACAAACAGTAACGTCCTTGAGGAGTTAATTGTGTTCTGGAATCCTCTTATTACCTCGTGGGCTAAAAAACAAAACAAAGCAAACTATCGGTTTGTTTACCATCAGGCAACATACATCCAATCGTGGTTAATCCCGATCAAAGCTCAAGTCGATAACAGAGGTCGCAAGAGAATGAGAGAACGTGAATAAACACTGTATCCGATTCTACCTGTTCCGGTCTCGACCCAGACAGACTGCAAGGCTTTTCCGTTGGTGTCGGAAACGTCCGTTGGGCTCAACCGCGATCCTCTGTTGTACATGAATCACTGGCCCGAACGCTTCGGGTTTTGTACCCTCTTTCTGGAGGTTCCTATCTCCTTGGCCTTGTTCCAGGGCAGTGTACGCCATTACGGACAGTATATGGATGTGCGCGCGTGCGCACGCATGTGCGGAGACAAAGTCCCCATGACAGCTGTGAATTGACTGGCTTTGTCTGCTCTAGGGTGGCGACTAGTCAAACGGCCCCATTGGTTTTACATGGGAGATACGGGGCCCTAAGATAAGGTATGTGGCTCGTACCCATATCCCGTCGTACTGCAGCATAGGCTAAAGCAGACTTTGCTGATCGTTGCTAGTTTTGCGGGGGTTTCTTTCTTTGTGTACTAGCAATAAACTGTTCAAAGGTTACGGAGTTATGCCGATTGTAGAGGTGCTTTCATTTGTATGACACGGTTGCTGGACTGGACTAATAAGTAAAATGGTTCAATGTAGTCTATACAAATCATAGGGTTAGCAAATGATTCTATTCATTTGAATTTAACAGGACATGGTTATAAACACCGCTGTACCGGAATAGCATGTGCCAAACCCAGATAGATCTTTCCAATGAACTTAATGTTTTCAAATGGTTTTGGATGAACATCTGAAAGGACTGCTCTCATGACAAAGTGTTCTCTCTGGTAAAAAATAATCGGAGACAATGCCATATGTACATGAATCATTCAATCCATGTGTCATTAACCGTTCCGTTTCGGTGATCTTTTGCTACAGTATGGTGGTCGATCCTCATAGGACGGTACCACTTTGCTCTGATGCTTCATTGACTTCATTGACCTCTTTGACCGTTCACCGTGTAATCGTAACGATAATATGCAGGAGTATTTATTGATAATCCAAAAATCAAACGGTTCTTGTGTTCATCTAAAGGACCAATTTGTATGCAAGAGTTGATCGGTTATCTTTGTTCACAAGGTTTACCACTGCGATGCCCAATTAGTGCTTGGTATTTATGATCAGTGTTGTATACTTATTCTTGTCAAAAGTGTGTCAAACAAACCATGATACAATAATCCTTATAAGAAAGAAATGAATCCACGAGGCGTTCGTGGGTGCTGTACTACCGGGTTGCACACACTAAAGCTAACGATGCGAGCCCCTAGATCGATTCAGTCATGAACAAAGCGGGTTGATCGCTTTACCCTTATGATGCACAGTTTCCTCGACTAGCGTTTTCAGTCTTTGTAATGTCTGTTCGGATTACTTCCCCGTATAGAACGTTTCCCATTTCGTGTGCGTGTTCCGCCTTTGACAAAATTAGGAACAAAAACGACAATGGATCTTTCATATCACAGAGTGCACGTGCGCCTTTTGAGTTGCACTGCAAAAGTACAAGCAAACATAACGGTCGCATTGATCTATTTTCATGTCTGTCCATACACATGTGCCTTTGTTTTGTCGTCCCAGTTATCGATCATTCAGTTTTATACCTCTAATTCGTCGTGGTTGCTGGGTAGGGGAGGTTGAAAAGGCAATATGCCATCTAAATTGGGCCTGCTTGGTCAATTATTTCCAATCCACTGGAGGTTCCCATTACCGAAAGAATGACTGAAGAGGATGATTAGTGAGGTGGACTAACTTATCCGTATAAGAATCAAATATAAGCCTCGCATTGGATCGCGTAAAACATGACATTGAGATCGTAGGTATAAATGTTTAGCTTATTACAATTTGCTATATAAACAGCAGTTCATTCTATGCCCGAACTGTTACGTCGACTGGTTGCTTGATGACTGATACTCGTGAAGTAATCTAAAACTAAGGAATTTGGATGATAGTACTCTGATGAGTGGTGCAGTTTTGCGGTTCACTGCATGTAACACGATCCAGAGTGATTTCTGAATGCTTCTCTCAATTAGACCGAAACAAGCTGGAGCACTGCCTGACCAATCACAATGATACTGAGTTATACATTCGTTCAAAGGAAATGATGCCGTTTCCTCTTGTTATTGAGGGTCACTTTTTGCCCATTATGTATCTTTCACTTGGATTCGTGCACTATTCCGGGGCGTCGACGCCACAAGTGTTTTGTGTCATGTCTAGCATGTTTGAACTAAGTTCCCGGTTATTGTCATCTTGGTTTGGAAAAGACATCACTATATATATATATATATATATATATATATATGACAGTTTTGTAAACAACGGTGTTGATTGTTGTTTTTGTAGCTCGGGTGGTATAATTTGATGTTCAGTTGTTCGCCGAGCTTGGCAAATGTATTGCAAACGTTTCATCACCAATCGAGGTGACATTCTCAATGCAGTAACTGGGTGATGACCGATAGTGATTGGCCTGATTTTGATTTTCCATCAGAAACCTTGATAACAGAAAGTATATCCATGTTTCTCATTTGTCCTTATGTTTCCACCCCTTTTCCTTCCGCTTTTTTACAATACTATCACCGTGTCCGTTTCAAACAGGTGGTTGGTTAAACATAGGTTGAGAGTTGAAAAACGTGTTCTGCACCTTTGTTTGAAATGAAATCAATCATCGTCATTATTTGGCATGAAACATTTAGGTGACTCATTTTGCTCAAAACGTCTCAACATCAGCTTCTTCTTGTATCATTTCGCTTGTACAGATCCGACCAAGACAGACCCGACGCCAGAATTCCTGGTGAACAATGCACTTCACCTAATCGATCGTCTGAATGATGATCAGTGTAAGTTATATTTAACTTTCTGTTCGTGTTCATCTATCTACATTCTCCTGGTACCGCTATTTTCTGTTTCAGTTTACCATGGTAATCTATTCGGGTGTTTTACCACCCAACCTCGACGAAATTGGTTTGTCATTGTTCACTGATTGACCGCAGATCTATCACTATTGTTTTTCGATGCTTGCTGAAGCATTGTGATTTAATTCACATCACACACAAGAAGACATAGATACATCTATTCTAAAGTGAGGATGAAATGTTCTGGGTGTGAATGGGCACGATCAAGTGTGCATTGAAGTTCCATATACCCCTCGGAGATCACTCCACAGATGGTGATCTTAACCTCTAATGAGGTCAATTGGCGATCTGTGCATAGGTCTTATTTTTACGCGAAACCAATTTTTATCACCTTTGGCTTAACAACTGAGTGTAATCAGGTCGACATCCTCTCACCCCTCCTCTCTGCTTGCGTTTCAAGGGGGTCACACATTCACACTGGTGCGATTTGATTCTCTTGGATCGTCTTGCGATGGTAACCAATTTAGCGACACTCCTAATGGATTTTCAGTGTTTCAACATAGGCTGTTTGAGGGTGGTTTAGGCGCACCTTATGTCAACTTAGATTTTTATCATCAAGCTGTTTTCTGAATTTTTAAACTAAATGTGATTTTACGGTTACATTGGCATCCTTTATCGTTGCCGAATTTCGCATCCACATCATACCTACTGATTCATCAGTAGACAGAGGAGAACAGATCTGTACTCAACAGTACTTTCACAATCCTTGAATCGAACCAGCGATCTTCTGCTTACCGGACAGCTGCTCTAGTAGTTGAACCTTCACGGACAGCCAACTGAATGCAATACTTATTCTGGCACAGACGTCCTCGCTAATGATTCACGGTTATCACATGTCCTGCTCGTAGGTTAGTCACCTTGGTTGTTTTCACATTACGACGAATGTAACGGCCGCACAGAATCCTCCAAGGAAATATGTTCCGTTTAGCGTTTGAATAGCGCTGAGGAGAGGAAGGAAACGAGGAAGAGTTCCCGTGATTCCTTTGCGAGGAATACTCCTCCTTGACTGACTCACAATATCCCGATTGACTGAGCAATCTTTTGGTAAGTCAGAGCGAGGGGGGGGGAAGCAATGATACATATACACTTAAAGTGAAGAGCGTTTTCTATAGGTATGATGAACCTGGATCCTGTTGGCGAATATCGTAGTGCCTAGTTTTATAGAATCAGATTACTTTTTCAGTGACTGGGGTATACCAATTGCCAATCAGATGTATTCAAGCCCCCCAACAACCGCAGAAGAGTCACTAAAACAATGTGAATCACTTTGTAGCTGATTGAATGAGGTAATATTATGAAAATTGTTCTTTTCGGAGTAAGCTAACAACTCTACTCAGTTATTCCGTCAGTCCAGTTCAGTCCGGTTACTTAAAGACTGTGGAAAAAATGCAGAGAAAATGAAATCTAGCGTTTGTTGTTCGAAGGATAGTTCAGTCGTAATTCTTGATCATACATGCACTAATGTAGTATATTTAAATAACAACGAGTAATTTATACTGAATGAAATGTAGTATAAAATGAATCGTAATCAGTTTTGATTGGCGGGCACACTGCTTACAACTAATAGTACCATTAGATTTGTTTTGAAATCTCGTAAGTGAACAAGGATAGTGTAATAATGACTTTTCGTTCTATTTTCCATTCATTAACAATGTTTCATCTCTTACCCCAATTACCATACTCTAGCATGTGCAGCTGAGGGAATTTTTCGCAAAGCTGGTCATATGCAACGCAAACGTCAGCTTCTTGACGCCCTTCTTTTACCCGAATTCGATCCGGATAGCATTCCATGGGACGTATATACGGTGCACGACTTGGCCACCGCACTGAAATCACTCATTGCGCATTTGCCCTCACCACTATTGACAAATCGTCTGATCCCACTGTTCCTTCGTGTGGCCGGTACGTTTTTCGTTCGTCCCACCACGTGCCTCCGAGTACCAGTATAGTTTCCGGATAATGTGACCCCAAGATTTTATTATCCGCTGTCAACTATAGTTTAAGGCGACAGTATGTGACAATGTGAACTTCAAATTAGGGGATTTTATCTTCACCCTGATGATGGTGATAAGTCTCGCAGAATGGTTTTCTTCGTTGATTTAATCTCTATTTGCTTGCGCTTAGTTTTTATTCGCTTAAACACATTGTTACCATTTTAATGATCACTACCGTGAGCGATCTGCTCAGAATGATCATTTTCTATACCGAACTAAAACTGCGTCTATCCCATAGTTTACGAGCTACATATGTTTTATGCTTCTAGTTGAAACTGTCTGCCTCTGTCCTGATACATAGTTTGTGCGGTTAAGTTCACACAAACACTACAAACGAAATGCAGTTTATCAAATGGATTAGGAAAATGAAACTTTTGGTTAGTCTCTCAATGCATGCTCTATGTTCTTGATTTAATCAAATCAATCATTGCTGTTATTAGTCGTCCTCCGATCGGATTATGGTTTTTCAGTTTTGGCTGATGTTCTGCAATTTTGGTTTGTATCATGTTCCCAACACAACGGGGTGGCAACTCGGTCTGTTTGGCGGTGTTGGTCCTCGTGAAAGTCAGAATCCGGTGTCACTTTGATTACGTAGGAGTTGAATTCGAAATGATTAGGCCCGGTTTGGTCAATCACCTCGTATCTAATTTCATTTGGTTTCAGGTGTAGCCTAAGGCTAGACCAGTGTCCCGCCCCTTTTATCTGTGCCCGGACCGCAATTGATCCCAGCGGTTATCGCTTGTGATTCACTATCACTTAACTTACCGCCATAACAGGTGTAGAGTTGATTCAGTAGCCATAGTAACATGAACCCACAATCTTACGTGCGCTTGGCCCTATTTTTCATCAGGTCATGAGGTCAGCCGTCGACCTGTTGAGCGTTTACATAACAATCGGGATAGATGCAATCTTTTGGCTGAGACCGTTAATCCTGAATTTAATCGGCCAGCGATAAGGTTTGTTCTCGTGCCGGTCAAATGTTGACCCCCGAAGGGTGAATAAATGCGCCCATCGCTTGATCAGTGACAGGATGAATAAGTGGATAATAAATCCGTTCGTCATCCTCAGTTTATAGACTTGAACTGTTTTATGACAATTTTGCCTGATGTCCGTCAGCTAACCATTTGGTCGAGTAGTGAAGAGGAAATAAATGAAACAGTTAATAGGTTGAAAAGGTCGAGATAAAACGGAGTAGTCTGCGTGTAAAGTAGATCTGATTCGAAATCAAATGGATGCACTAGAGCTACTGCTTAGGACACAGTTCACTCATTCTATTTACGAACTCTTTCGGTGTGTGAAAAATCAGTAAGTATTTGCAACGTGTAACTACAGTCAAATTGCCTGGAATAATTCGTCACTCTAAAGTTGATCAGAAAGATTCTCCGCATCACAAAAGCTCATTTCGTTCACCACTGAGAAATTCCCATCCGACGGTGTCGGGGACGACGGAGATTGCTAAATTCTCATCAGGCTGCGTTTAGCATTCATTCCGGCGGGTCAGGTCGTTCGTTCGTTCGTTTGGATCCAAGCAAGCGTTAGACGAAGGCTAGACTTTGTCCAACTTCATGCGTGTGTTTATGAGCAAACTGAAGTCTGTCAGAAAGTTCCAAATGCCAAACCCTATGGTTGTTCCTGATTGTCCCTACCTCGCCTTGACAAACGAGACAGCTGAGTCACATACTGCGCGCGTTAAGACTCATCAACGATAGGTCTGTCTAGACTGTGAACTATGCAAATGCTTTTTTCTCTCACACTTGCGGAGCCAATGCGTGTCCGCCGAACTGATCGCTGGAATTAATAAGTGAACGGCCACAGAGTTGATGAGTTAGAACTATAATTAGGAACGAACCATGAGATGCGCTCACAAAGCACCACTGTATTCTGCCCAACCGTTCACGATTGGTTGACTCGTCCTATCATTTCCCATTCCCTCCCTACTCGGCTGTCTAACCTCTTTTCGAAGTCATCATCATCCATCCTGTGTAGCTTGTTAGGTCGTAGAGGTGCACAAGCCATTAAACCACGTCAAGGTGCAATCTCTTCGTAATGGATTGTTGTACAACGAAACACAGTAATGCGAACATGGATGATTTCTGGCAAGCTCACAGGATGTATACAAAGTAAATCCAAGTGTATAAACGGTATTTCAATGTTCAAGAATATTAGGGACAACCATGTAAATATTAGTGTTAAATCTGTCCCATATATATGTTTAAGTACTCCGGAAATTTGAAACTCTTTTGAGTGGAGAATTATTTTTAGTAAGCCTCGCATTATTCATTTATTTACGCGATATACTTATCTGTATTAGAACGGCCGGTAAGTGTTTTAAGATCACCTTGTTTGTAATTAATCTCTGTGTGATGATCGTTTGCTTCCACTGGGAGTAATAAATCAAAAGACATCTTTACATAGCAAAATAATGTCATTGTACTTCGTAGTTGATTCTCATATATCACGATTTCTTCACACGTAACCAACACTAGACCGCTCAAGAGTCGTGTGCTGAATTGTCACCTGCCCATGGAATCCTCGTTACGGAGCAGGTCATCTATCAACCTAAATAATCTGGGAAAAGAATCTACGAACGTTTTTTGTTTGTAACTTTTCTGTAGCAACCCAGCCAACAATGGACGAGCCAGGGGCACAAGCAATCCGATATTGTAACGAGAAAATTTCTGCCACCTGAATAACAAAGGTGATCATTTTGACTGCAGTATTGTTAAGGCGAGAGTTGTGCGTACATTTTCGTTCCGTTGGCTAACACGCAGTAATATGTACACTGTATGTTCACGTCATTACAACCCATCACATGGGTTCTAGTAGGACATACAGTTATTTGACATTGTTGTGGTTGTCTTTACCTAGATACCTGTTTCCTTTGGTAGTGAAAAATTGCACACCGAGAGCTTAATGCTATCGTCAGAACCTTTTTTCTTACTAGTAATCGATCTTACCGGGGTCACACGGACACTGGGTCAGGATTGCATTCTCTCCTTCACTGTCTTTCTCTTCGTTGGGCTAGTTCAATGGCTCGGTACTTATTGTTTTTTAATGAGACGTGCTGTACGAACCACCGTTATACGCGCATGTATACTACTGTTTGGATAGTTTTCGTCTTATGTAATAAGTGTAGATTGAATTTTTAGTATGTCAACTGTACTGATGGAAAAATATTCACACATCGGTTGCACGGTGTTCATTTTTCGAGAAAAGCGAAGGTTTGGTGGATAGAGAAATCAAAAATTAATGCCTTAGCTCATCATTCAATTAAATTCAAACTATCATTGATGAGTATTATATGAATCGCCAATGGTAAATGACCGTGTCGCTATCCCTCTTCAATCAATCACACACACACACACACACACACACACACACACACACACACTCTAAAACCCATGGTCATCACCATTTAAACTACAAAATTAGGCTTTGCTTTTTGGATTTTTTCACTTTCTTTTTGTACAATTTGTGCACCAACAATGGTTTGACCCGGAGCTTTTGCTATTTACTTCTATCTATTTACTGGCAAATTACTCAACTCAGAACGGTTTCACATCGATTAAGCTTGCAAACTGTTTCCCGCTCGACCCTTTCGGAGTGCATATTGTATATTTATTATTCAGTTCATTTCAGTTCTTAAAAGCATTAACTTCGCATTTTTGTGCGCCGGTTTTGGTTACTGTCTTTTGGTTGCCCATTCGGATAAAACAGCAGAATGAAGATTGGAATGTTGAGAGCAAATTCAAGCGAAAGATAGCGAGTTTATATAGACTGGAGTTACAGGAATAATGAGTAAATGCATGAGGGCCACTGTTTGCGACACCCAGCCATATCGGTGACCATGGTTATTATTAGTATTATTAATTATTATTATTTCTTCAGAATGAGATTGCTAAAATTCAGCAAACAGGTTCCAGAATACTCCTAACGATGCAACTAGACAGTAAGATTTTATTTTCTTCATTAAACGTCACCCGGATTTTTCAAGCCAAAACGGAATCCCAAAATAATCAACGCAACGCAGGGCAACTTTCCGATTTTCACAGTACATACCAATTGTTCTATGGGTATTGGGATGATCAGGCTGACATTTTTCTTTTCATGTTGTCTATGTTCAGTAACTCAAGTTAGATCCACCCCATGATGGGTTTTCCATCGATCAAGGTCACGGCAAACAGTCGATGCCAACTTGTCTGTTCACGTGTCATTCGTTCCTCGTGATGTTTGTCCCCAATGGCTATTTTGGACTCACTAAAATGGAACCCAAATAAGAGATCGACGGAGTTTACGCTTTTTTGCATTCTTCCGTGCATATTGTCATGCTCTCCGTGAATTTGTTGCATTTGTATCATCACAACTACGACAGTTCAGTTTTTCATTCCAAACGTGACCCTGCATGTGGACTGTAAGCCACGGTGATCCTCGGGGCAGATCACCCACCATACGATAGGAGGGGATTGTCTGAGCCCAGTAAGACGATGCCAACTGATACAAGTTGGAACACGTCGAGTTCCCGCAATTGTGGCTGTCAGTGCCCCCGGGGTCACCCTTGCAGACAGAGTACATTGTCAATCTGATGACCGAGTTGATAAAGTGCACACATTTCGTTCGTACTTTATCAGGTGCGTCCTTCATGACACTTGATTTATTGTGTCTGACTCAGAGGCCTGAACGTGCCAGTTGGAGTTCCGTGAACTACAAGCGGGCTTCAACATGTGGTGTGGGTGTGGATATGCGCGCAAATGTGATCCGACTGAGAACAATGACAACGTCAACCGGTGTGTGTGTAGTAGTAGTAGGTCGAGACCTACTGTTGAGCTAATGTACTCATTGCTTTTTAACACAGGGTTTGTCCACATTCACAGATCTCGTTTGACCATCCGGCCTAGGATGTTTCAAACTGATGGCCTATTTCGTATTCGTATTTGCAATTGTTCAACCTGTGTACGTTTATGTGCTTACATTTCGGTTAAAAGTGTACATTGATCGTCACCCTGAATAAAATAAACAAATTCAGAAGATATAGAACGTGAAAATGTCGCTAAAGTTTGGTCTACTCACACCGATTCTGACATAATTTAATAATGACCTGTTCCTTGTTGGTTATGAGCCGGACCAGGTATGGTACAGTGGAATTCTTACAAATATGGATGGATAGGACCTTGAAAAGGATAAATCACGGTGTGGTGGATGAAGAGGGTTGTCTATGTAGAATAAATCATGAAATTTTTTTCTTTTCACAAAGATTGTTGTATCATGACTTGTTTGGCACGCAGTCTGGCCTCAGATGTGTGATATATATGTATATACTTGAAGCACATCGGAATTATTAACCAGAGGTTTTAATGCACTCCCGTCCACAGGGGATCCGCGTCAGCAAAAATGAACATGAGCAAACAACGATACAGTCAGCTTTACATCTAGGATAAGAACATGTAGCATTAGTGAACGCTCAGAATGGGAGGTATCAAACTAAACTTGTTTCTCATGGGTCAGAGAGAAAGGGATCAAGGTGTGGATGAGTGAGTTGTTTTTACACATGTAATAGTTTCTGTTTTTTAAACTTTCTATGGACATTCGTGTCATTTTCTATTGAAACAGGCCTAATTGAACCAGAAGTTCAAGGGATGGTGCATAGTTTTGATGCACTGGCCACTCCGGTTTCGTCCAACGAGGGTCAATCGATGGACAATGTGCACTGGGATCTGATCCGGAGTAAACAACTCAAAGCCTTACGACTCCTGGTCCAATTGCTCCCATCGTCCAACCGGCAATTGTTCAACAGACTCATGGCACTGCTTGATCGTGTTGTACGATCCCAGTCGAGCAATCGAATGACCAGTGAAAATTTGGGCACAGTCTTTGGTCCCGTATTCTTCCCCAACGAGCTTTCACAGGATGTAACTAACACCTCCAAGGTAAATCAGTCGAAAGTTTTCACGAATTCACTGGAAAACGCAGTTAGAGTTATATAATAGATTTTGACAGAAGCTATGCCTTTTGTTTATTTTGAAACAGTATCACGCTTTGAAACTTGAGTTCACTAACAGCAAAACAAAATGTCACCTGGATCAGTTCCATTTCAGTCTACAGAATTGTGCGACGGTTTTGATTACTATCCTTCGATTACCCAAGTGGTCGATCAATAACAAAGGAGTAAATGATGTCAGTGAATTTCAAGCGGATTGAACTTTTGATCATTGCCTTTACCAGTACTGATAGATTGTTTGATCTTAGTTGACTCATTTCATCCCCAGTACATTCAAGACAACACCTTTTTCAAATCCAGTTTTTAAGAGTATCAAATTTAGATGTCCGGACATCGTTTCAGATTATTTCACCAACATTGTAAATTATCCCAGTGTAATCGGACAAATAATTTGCAAAAGGCATTGAGACAAACAATAGCGAAAACGTTTGCGCTATTTCCATGTGTATCTGAGCTTTAAAAAGTTATACACAAAAAGTCAGTCTGAAAGAAGTCACTGTTTTAATACTGACAAACAGAGCCGTGCGATTGCACAGAAATGCGAACTACTCACTGTAAAAAGTTGTAGTGCTCAGAGCAACTTTTCAATTAATCGGTCAGAATCCGGGAAAGGTAAGGTCTCAAAAGTTTCTGTACACGAATTTGCGAGATGGGATGAGCCAGTGGTTACTGTCGGTTGTAGAATGGGATTTGCGTGCAGATGAGTCGATGTGCAATGGATTAGTGTTATTAGACAAAATGTTGTTCGTAAAACTCAAGCAGGTATCAGCATGTTCATCACGAATGCTGTTCATTGGCACAGACGAGGGATTTTGCGAAGTAAAGTGGATCATTTCGAGATTACATCCCAACAACCTGCAATTAACCTTCACCAGAGTAGAGGAGATCCCAGAGAGGTATTCAAGGAGTATAGGGAGAACAACTGCAGAACAAAATACATTGTCACTTTTTGGTTACTGCAAAAACGACGTAGCCCTCTAATTTGAAAGGGACTTCCTTTCAGTTTGCGGGTGACAGTCTGGGTATGCAGAGACCAAAGAAGATTACTTTTAAAGTTTACACCCAACCACTTCACAAGACAGACTATGTTCATTGGTTTTCCTTTAATTTGTACATTTTGAGACAGGGGAGAGGAACTTCCACAGCGTGTGGTGGTGACGTAGTGGTTTAGCTGCTGTCATCAGCGTGCTTTGGACCCTATGGTTCGAGGTTCAAGCCCCGCCACCGCTAACAACTTTAGTGGTAAGCAGCTATGTTATCGTCCGGTTCAATACCACGCCCGATCTCACAGGGCCTTATGTGGTTCGCCAATCCAAGTCCTGGTACTTAGGTTACCGGTTTCTATCACTGAGCAGCGGGTCTTCTTGACTATGGGGTCCATCGCGTCTATCGTTACAGCACAAAATGTGTTATTCAAAAAACACTGGAGCAATTATCACAATTAGGATTGAGACCGAAATAAGAGGAATTATGTCACGAGACGAGAAATAATAATGTTTTAAGTTTCAACTTCGGAGTGACCGGAAAAAAGATAGAAATGACAATATTCTCAGTCCACTTAAAATGAAGAATAGAGGTTGTGACAAGGGTTATTAATCTGAGCTATTAAAATATAGGGTGATAAGATATCACACCCAGATTGTTGAGTGACACTGTTGACGAAGCTGGCTCACTGATATGGTTGAGAGAAGTAGTCTTTCAAGCACTTAGGGAGAGAAAGGTGCAGCCAAAAGATTGCAAACTATTACGCAGAAGGGAACGGGGTACGGAGACAAAAACTGAGGAATATTCGGGAAAAGCACACGGTACATATTTGGCTTCGTCATTCTCAGACCTGCAAACAATGAACAAAGGAAGTCCCAGTTTCAGTTTAAACCTGCAATTTTTCATGTCGGTTTTAGTTGTTGATCATGGCCAGTCACTTGAGTGAAGAAGAGAGAAGAACTGGAATGTTGGAAGCAGCATGAGTGTGAACAAAGAGAATTCAGGTTGGTTGCAGGGATATTGAGTAAATGCCGAAGTGCTACTGTTTATGAAAACCAGCCGTATCACTCATATTGAAGAAACAATGGAGAAAATAGATAAATTTTGCCATTTGGACAGCTAAATCTCACATGGTGGGCTAATCTGGGTTGACGTTTCGGCACACACACACACACACAAGGATCGGTTAATGCTGTCGCGGCATGCGCCTGTCTGACTGTTGTAGCAGTTCCGCCGGTGTCCTTAACTTATACAGAGATTTAGCCGTTGAGCGAACAGGATACAGATTGTCTATTGGTGTTCCAACGCCGCTATCAATGCCGCATTGCACAAGCTTTTTGGAGTAAAGCAACAAGTAATGACACCGTTAGTGCAGAGTCACGCCTTGGAGCGAGTGCTCAACCTCCGTAGATTGTGTCGACTGGGTGGAAACAGGTCAAGGGTGATCAAAGTAAGAGCTGACCCCGACCAGTCATGTCGGTCACGTTACGCTCTCTGGTTGGACCCCGTGATTAGTAGGATTGGTGGTTGCGAAAGTAGCGGGTATCCTATTTCAAGTTCCGCTTCCAACACTTTCCAATCTGTGCTACCCGCTAAAAACTTCACTGTCCATGATTTTACGACCCGAATAATCCCACACATGTTTAATAGACGAGTATGCTAACCGTGACAGCATACGTTTTTGTAATAATGGCACATCATCAGATCTACCCTAGCTTTCTTGTGCTATTCTGCAAGAAGAGGCTGTCGAAATCCCAATAAGTCTCCGTTCTGTTGGCGAGGAATTATTCATGTGGAAGCTGATTAATAGCCTAATTGTAAGAGATTTTGCTTTAGTAGTCTTTGATAAAAGCCTGCCTCCCCCCCAGTTGTTACTGATGATGAACGGCGTAATGCTTGATCGTCATAAAATTAAGGAGTGTTTACTAGTTCGTATAGACAAGACTGTATGAATCAGAGCTTTGAATGGGATGAGCGCTACATTCATAAATAGATTGAATAAAAGTATGACTCGAAGAATCCGTAAAGCTTTTTGCAAGAAGGGGCAAAATGTCATGTGTTAGAAAAAAATTTGTATTTGTTCTTTCCCCTCATAATAAACAGCTTTTTTAAGAGTTTCTATTTTATCTTTATTTTCACAATAACCAACTATTTTGAAAAAGGTCAATGTGAAAAGGCTGGAGTTTGTGAATTCAACATAGTACACATTATCAATGATTCCTAGGTGTACTATCATATACGTTGTTCCCTCTGCTCCTCAACTCGATTGTCGATTCTCTATTTGCCGAAGGAACTGAGGATAACACACGTATATGTTCGTTCTGTCGTCCAGGTTCCTTAGAGGAGAGCTGAGTAATCAATAACAACTGTTTCTTCCTAATCTTATATTTTTGTGTAACAACATTATCATTAGACATTATCAAACAATTAATGATGGAGGTTTAACTTAAAATTTAAAATTCCATCATTCATCATCAATCGAATAAGCGGATGATACCGCCTTATTGGGTGATAACGCACAGGTAGTTCAACAAACTTTAAACCCCTTGACGCTAGATGTATCCAGGTATGGCGTGTGCCTTGCACCAGCCAAGCGCTGCCTGCTGAAATCCCGTACCCCGTTTAAAAAGAGACTAAAACAAAAAAATATCAAAAAATGTGCTTACTGTCAAACAAAAAGTATTATTCTTGT